ATTTTAGAATTTGGTATGTTTGTCTTGTAAGCTTAATAGCCATAAAAGAAAACAAAATTGCCACACAAAAGTATATATTTATATAAAGTAGACATCACAGGCTATTTACCTAAGGTTGTTTCTACGTAGCCATTTGACCGCCAACCTCTGCTAAATATTGGAGTAAAATTGTGTTTTTTTGTTTTTGGCACACAAACTTATAACAAAGAAATTCTTGTGTGTATTTTGTAAAGTTGGTGTGTGCTATTCCTGTACAAAGTTTTATTTTGTGTTCAGTTACATCTGCTGAGTAAAATGACACCCCCATTGTATGTCTTTGGCACTATTTCGTGAAGCTACAGTGCCATATAGGAGACCTGTCCTTTTCAGTAATCACAGTAGAATTTTGAGAGAAGGATTTAATGAGCCTATGCTTCCATTTGGGGTATTATAACAGTTTGACATTTAAAAAAAAAACCACAAAGGCCTACCATTTGTAAAAGAAGACACTCCAGGGTATCTCATAAGGTGCATTTTGGGCCTTAACATGCCCCCATTTTTTAACTGATAGATGCCAAAGTATGTGGTGAAAAATAAATTTGTGCATTTTTTTACATATGGATTGCATGTTTACTGGGCATTTTGTATATTTCACATGTGCCACTTAGTGATGTACCGAACGGTTCGCCAGCGAACGGTTCCTGGCGAACATAGCATGTTCGCGTTCGCCACGGCGGGCGAACATATGCGCGGTTCGACCCGCCCCCTATTCATCATCATTGAGTAAACTTTGACCCTGTACCTCACAGTCAGCAGACACATTCCAGCCAATTAGCAGCACACCCTCCCTAGCAGACCCTCCCACCTCCTGGACAGCATCCATTTTAGATTCATTCTCAAGCTGCATGCTTAGTGAGAGGAGGGAAAGTGTAGCTGCTGTTCATTAGATAGGGAAATGCATAGCTAGGTTAGGGTTAGGTATGCTTTTTTTTATTTTTTTTTCTATGTAATGTAATTGCAGTTAGTTGTCTGCCACTGCTGCCAGCTTCTGTGTCAGGCTCACAGTGCATACTGTGCCCATTTTCCCAGTCAGTGACACCACTTATATCTGGTGTCACAATAGCTTGGATTTAAAACAAAAAACTTTTTTCACTGTTATAGATTGAA